AGCCAGCTGGCTGGGGAATTCTGGGAGTTGAAGTCCACTCATCTTAAAGTGGCCAAGTTTGGACAACACTGCTTAACCACTTCACCAAACTGGCTCTATCCTACCAATGGCATCACATTTGCCAGAAACTTGAAAGTGGATTAAATTATGATTTTTTGTGTGTGTGTGTGCTCAGTTATGGTTGGTAAACAGCTGAAGATTGATTAATTGACTTAAGATAATTGTTGACTTTTATAACAGCCTGCTTAATCTGACTCCTGGAAATTTACATAAAATATAAAACAATATAGATAAACACAATGAATGCTGATGGCCGCCCACTATTTCTTTTATTTGTTGTTACTGATAATCTTGCTTGTTGGTAGTAAAGTTCTGAAAATATATAAAATTATATTCTGGTTTTTAAAAAAAAATAAAGACAAATGGACAATATGCTTTATAAAATATATTAAAAATTCATAAGATGATTGAAACAGACTCATTGATATTAATAAATTAGCTAATTGATTCACTGAATTATGCAGGGTTTTTTTCCTTGTATATATTTGCAGGTCTATTGTTTAAATAACTAGATACATAAGCTATTCTTTTTTAAAAAAATAGTACATACAGTAAGCTCCAGACTATCAACACCTTTATTAATTCAACCTTGAGATTTAACATTTTTAGATATTTACATTCTATCTCAGTCACATGGGAGTTGACTTCTGGGCAAAGAAAATGGACTTACAATCAAAAGATTTATGTTCAGCATTGGAAAGACAAATACGTGGCTCTAACTATTCAGTGGGTTTGCAGAATTGATTAATATAGATAAACCATAGATGACTGTAATGAATCACGGCTTCCATTTATTGATATATGTACCTCTATAAAAAAAATTTTAGCTTTCCCCCTCCTTTTAAAATTTTGTGTGTTTTTCTTTTTCTTTTTTGTATTAATAAAAACATAAAAAATAAAAGAAATACTTTTGCTATATTATACCATCAAATGTAACAAAACACTAATTTGTACTAATTTAGAACTACATTTCTAAAAAGAGACTAAAAGCCAGCAGTACATGAACACCAACACTTTCACCTATTAAGAAGCCATTATTATTTATGCTGCTTTGACTGGAATGCAACTTGTATTTCCACATTTATTCCTAACAATAAAGAGTTATATCCTAGCACAGATTTTATTTTACTTCCAGTACCACATTCATGTTATAAAATAAATTCTAGGGAAGTAACGTGTTCTTACAGCCATTTCCCCTATAAGAAATGTGCAATGGTTTATAAAAATTTATAAAGGGTTCACTTTTCAATCCATGTAATACCCAATCTTCTGTCATAAAAAAATGAGGCAGATAGAGCCTCATTACATTTTGATAATGTCCAAAAGTTTTCTGGAGCAGAAAATACTATTAGACCTACACGCAAGGGTAAATCTTTTTCTTTATTCAAGACCTTTGTCTCTTAGTTGCTCCCTTGATGGGGAGATTTACAAAGAGGTTGGGAACATTCAGTGAATTTTGTCCAGTAACAAGAAAAAAAGTGCAGAAGCAAAAGGGGAAAGTATATGTTGTTCTCAAAATGAACCACTACGAAACTGCTTGACTTGTCTTCACACGTTCATCCCAGAGGAGCAGTGATGGAAAGTGACCTGCTACTGAGCTAATGGGAGGTCTGAGGTGAATTTTGGACTAGCTGAGCTCAGCATCTGGAAAAGCTGCAGCTGATTAGCTCCATTAAAAGCCTGGTCCCAACAATTCACAGAGGAGCAAAGTAATTGTAGCCACTGCTGTAATGCAAGGATGGATCTAGCAGTGGGAGGGTAAAATGGAGACTGGAGCATTACATTATAAAATGTAGGGGGCACACATTCTACTCACGTTTATGGTTTTCATTTCTGTGGACAGGTGGAGAACGTGTCTCCTGTTCCCGAGCATCATCCCCCTCCTCGCTAGCAAGGTGAGTATGGGCATAGTGGTAGCTCAGTCCTGGTCGATTCTTATAGCGCTTGCCACAGACTATGAACACAGAAGATGCAAAGAACAATAAACAGTAAATGAGACATCAGAAAGCATCTTACATAGGTCTGCCTATGGCAGTCAACTAGAGTTTTATTTCTATTTCTTAACATAAAGTGCTGCATCCCAAAGAAATGTCATACGCCCAGAAGCTGGGCGTGCTTCAAGAATGATGCAGAAGAATTGCTTTGAACCGCATACAGGTGTGAGCACAGAATATCTGTGATATTCTTAAAGCCACCTGATGTTTCTCAGGCTTTTGCACAGCTCTGAAATAAAAGTACTGCTGCTTTAAGGGTTCCACTCATTAAAAGTAATGTGATTGTTAAAGTAGAGCCCTAATAGATATCTATACAGTATATGAAAGACCAACACTGCACATCAGACAAAAAGAAATAAAAGACTGACATTGTCTTCAGGGGTGATTGAAGGTTATATCAAAAATCAGGTTGGCAGCCCCAGCATGCAGTTGAAGCCCCACCCCTTTTGTACCCATGTGACGTGTAAAAAAAGGCTGGGGCTTCAATTGTGCATGTGTGGCTGCCTGATTCCTCCCCCATCCACTCTGACACTTCTGATTGTCATCTAACATGTTTAGAAATTACCACCAGCTGGAGAGAATTGGGCCCTGAATCTGAAGCACATGCTAAATTTTATCCATGCAACATTCAAATATGTGTTTTCTAATTTTAAAAAATCTATTCCATACCTGAATATAAAATACAGAGCAAGACTTGCTCTAAATTAGTTCAGCTGAAACCACCTGCTGAGCCCTAATGGTCAAAGCTGAACTTACTGCTATGCTAGTTAACCAAATATCTCACGTTAATTAAAAAAAAAATCTGTCCTCTCACAGCTGATAGCCTTTACTCAAAAGGTTGTTTGGTTTGAATCTATCTAGCAAGTTACAATAAAAATGCATTATTCAAGCACATACACAGGTTAAATGTTTGGTCCCTGATGACAATATGATTTGCATTTGCATCAGGTATTTGTGAATTTGTTTGGTCTTTAGTGTGTGCTTCTGGATAAGTTTTTCTCACAGGCAAACACATACTATAGATACCCCCAATGAAATTAGCTTGATGAGTGTTAGGTCCCTAGAAGAAGACCATTCTATTCCTAGTAATCATTTTTTTATCCACTGATAGGAACTACTAATTCTAGTAGATGTTGCCTTGCTGCATACTGGTCCATAAAGTTCTTTTTTAAATTGTTGCTACTGCAAAATGATCACATTTCAGTGGTGCAGATTGGACTAATTTGTAGGATTTTAAAGGTGGAAATTGGAATGCTTCACTTCCCAAAGGCCTCCTGCTTCCATTCGCACCCTTACTTTGGAAAAGAAAAAAGAAAACTCAAGCAACTGAAAACCAGCCATTTTGCTGCCAAACTTCAGTGGCATGATTTCAGAGAGCTGGAAGGCCACAAATCCAATGCTTTGGAGTCACAGTTGCAATGCTTGGGATAATGAACAAATATTAATTGCTTATCAAAACATGAACATAATTATGATGTGATATAAACGCATTCTGCACTGACAGGTGTGGAATGAATAACTAATGTTTAGACTGAACATATTTTGGGCATCCCATCTATTTGTAAGACAGGGACCAAGCTAGTGTGCAAAATTCAGAACACTACTTCCATTTTTTTTAGGAGTTATAGCTATCACATTCAAACTGAAATGAGTTCATGGAAGAAAAATACCTAAAGGAAACCAAGCTAAACGGTACAGGGCAACTGCCTTGAAAGATGGGAAGAAAAAACCCACACTAATTTGTATTAGTCATCAGGAACAGAACAACAAAGTATGCGTTTCTTATGCAACACAGACGTTTTAACACTATTATTAACCAAGAACATTAATTAGAATGCAAAAGGCAAGAATGACACAGCCATTGCTGGAAAGACCTAGGATTATAGTAAATGCCTTTTCATCTAAAAAAATAGTAAGAAAAATAGAGTCCATAACTAAAAAGAAATTATGCTATCTCTTTTCATGAAACACCTGTCAAGTCAATACATATGTGGTACCTTGCATTCTACATTTAGCTTGGCAGAAAATGGTTCAGCTTGATGGAACAGATGTCTCTAAAGTGAGTCATCAGGGAGAAAGCACCCAAAATTGAAAGGAATATTGGAGGTTCTAAACTGATTAGTTTGGACAAATGTGATGCAACAATCAGTACATGTTCCTGGACTGAATTTTCTACAAACAAAAATATTCTCCACACATATGACAGAGACAAAAGATAGTTAGACCAAACAAATTCCACACTGCATTATTAAAAATATTTACACAGCCTAGGGGTCAAGCACTTGTTGATACGTAGATGATGAATGCTTAACTTGTATTCTGTAATCATGGAGAAAAACCCATCAATATAGTGATTGATTGACTGGTTGATTATGTGCCATCAAGTCGGTGTCAATTCTTAGCAACCATATACAGTAAATAGATTTCAATATTGGACACCAATATGATAGAGCAATAAAAAGCCAATAAGCAGAATTTTCCCAGAAAAAAACTTAATGGAATCCTTATAAAGAGCAAGCTTATTTAGAGTATCTTGTTTCCATTACATTCTGTAGTTCATCAATCATAAAACAGATCCAAAGTGAACAGAAATTATTCAACTGAGGTCACAGATATTGCCTGGATAGAACATAGCGTATTTTCAGAAATGGAGGCAAAACAAAATAATACAAACATGCCTGGGAGAATAAGGAGTTGTTTTCCCAGAATCAAAATGATCATAACAATTCTAAGGAGAAAAAAGGGAAGGCAGCAGAAGTCAACATGCTTACAAAAAATAGTGATTGAGCCGAGATTGGCAAAGGATGTCAAAAACAACAACAACAAAAGGATGCTAAAAACAACAGAAAGGCCTTCCTTCGGTATGTTAAGAAGACAAGAATCAATATACTAACTGCTTGATGAAAAACGCAAAATATTAATGGGTAACAAAGAATGGATGGAAGATAACCAGGAAATACCAGGCTATAGGCCATAACAGAAAGTCAAAAAATATCTCCGAAGAAGGCAATGACAAACCACATCTATGTTGTTACCAGAAAACTATACGGATATGTCCATGAGATCACTAGGGGTTGAGTTCAACTCAAAAGAAACTTTACTTTTAGTTTAACAAAGAAAAGTCCAAGCTATTCATCTTCTATTTTATCTCAAGTCTTCTCCAGCAAGAGAACCTGCATTCCACCAGGCAGATTGAAGTGGCTGATAGGAACATGGTCAACCAACAACTATTTACTTGGAATGAGTTTAAATCTTTATGGCTGAATTAACTGCATCCCCAAAAGCAGATGGCTTGGCAGGACCTTTATTCAACTGTTATTAACTCTGAAAAATCCTGGAGAAAAGATGAACTACCAGATGGCTGGTAGAGGGCAATGACCATATCTTCACAAGAGGAAAAAAAAAAAATCTTGAGGGAACTACAGTATACTCAGCCTAATATCAAAACCTGAGGAAATTCTAGAATTTGATTTGTAAACACCTGGAAAATAATGTGGTGATTGGCAGAAAATTAACATGGAATTGTCAAGCACAAGTATAGCCAGACTAAATTTATTTCATTTTTTTGATAGGGAACTTCCTTAGTTGATTGTGAGAATGCTGTAAAAGTAAATGCTTTGATTTCAGCAAAGCATTTGACAAAGTACGCCATCACATTCTGATTAGCAAACTAGTGTCATGCCAAATGGCATGGCAATTAAATGGATGCATAGCTGGCTTGAAAGTTATACTCAAAAAGTGCTCATCAAGGGTTTCTAATCAAGTAGGAGTGAGGTCCTGAGGGGGAATGACAATGTTTTGTCCTGGACCTTGTGTTTGTAAACATTTTTTTATTAATGACATAGATGAGGAAGTGGAGGGAATATTAATGAAATCTACAGATGACACAATGTTGAGTGGGTTAGTTAATACTCCAAAAGACAGAAATAAAATTCAAAACAATCTTGATAGGCTAGATAAATGATCTGAAAATCACAGAATGAAATTTAACAGAAAAAAAATCAGTAAGTAAATGCATAGATACAGGATGGGAGATATCTGGTTTTGTAATGGTACTTGTAAAAAAAATCATTGGAATAGAACACAAGCTGAACATGAAGCAAATGCAAATTTGGCTTGCATCAACCAGAGTATAGTTTCTAAATCATAGGAAGTAAAAGGAATGAGATCCCACCTCAAGTACTATGCAGTTCTAGGTATCACACTGGAGGTATCGAACTGGAGCAAGCTCAGATAATTAGTATAATCATTGAAAAAGCTGGATATGTTTAGCCTTGGGAAGAGACTATGGAGGATGAATATGATAGCACTCTTAAAATATCTGAAAGGATATTTTAAAGGAGAGCAACAAAGATGATATAGGATCTTGAGTACATGCCTTCTGAGGATAAGCTGAAGGGACTTGGAATGTTCAGTCTGGAGAAAAGAAGACTGAAAGAAGACAAGATAAACATGTTCAGGTATATATTGGGAAACTACAGTGAAGATGATCAAGAACTATTGTCCATGGCCACAGAAACTAGATTGCACCTATTTACATTTAGTTGCACCTATTTACATTTACAAAATGGGGTTGGCTG